CCTTCTCCCAAGTCTCAATGGAATGGAAAAAACTTAGCTCACAAGAATGGGCTCTAAAGGTTTTCAAGAGGTGGTTGCTCAATTTTAAAGTGAATGAAAATGGGTAGGATGAAGAAGATAGTTATATTTATAGCCTAAGGTTTTTAAAGAGGGAAAAATCCAAATTGAAAGTTATGGGCTCTTCTAAAAATCCTAACAAAAGTAGAAAAAACTTGAGGCATGCAAAACAAAAATGCATTGTGGAGGGAAAAAGTCATCCAACAGAGGAAGTCTCCACCATCCAAAACTCAAGATGCAAACGAATGCCCTTCTTCCCAAGCTCCGTTGGACGCAGGGCATTGGGGGGGCAAATAATGGGTCAAGCCCAAGGGCCCAACTCATATTACAAGCCCAAGGACCCAACTTCAAGAGGTCCGGCTAGCCAAGCCCAAATGAGTCTGCACTCGGTCAAGTTCATCAGGTTCCACGAGTTATATCATTGGCAGCATGCAAGGCCATGCTGCAGGCACCCAAGCTGCACCTCCAGCTCCTGATGCCCAGACATCCCAGGCTGCACCTCTAGCTCCTAATGCCCAGCCGTCCCAGGCTGCACCTCCAGCTCCTGTAGGCACCCAACTTTCCTCCTCTACCACCTTGGAGTAAGGGTCATCCAAAAGCCTTATCCTCTTCCCCTTAGAAAGAGTCAACATCCACGTCATCATTTGACCGAATCTCATGGAGAGCACTGCAACTACCTAGCCCATTGAGAAGAAGTCGTGAGCTCCACCGGAATAGTTATGTAGTTACTAATATTTCGCCTAAATCTGTTAGGATGGCGACTATAAATTGTAAGCTCCATCAACACTTGGGGGGCAGATCAAAGCAGAGATCACATTACACCTTTACATGTGCATCACACTTTACCTGAGCACAACTTTCTCCTCTCCCTCAAAGTTTGTACTCTCTGCTCCTCACACCTTTGAGTTAATAAAATATCCGGCGACCAGAGTCATTCAAGAGTGGACGTAGGTCGAGTTGACCGAAATACTATAAATTGTTTGTATCTCCCCACCTTCTTATATTATTTCTTGCATTTATTATTTATACTTGACAGGTGGTGTGCAAAACCATTTTATGCATCATCAAATTCAATTAAATGGAAATAGAATATTAGCGTTAAATTTTTTATTCAAAATTTGTAAGTCAATACGAATACAAACACGAACACGACACAGAAATAAACAAGTCAACTAGATACGACACGATTATGCTCGTGTGCTTATACATGTCGTTACATTTTTCAGTAGGGTACTGTCCATGTGCCCCAATCGTGATGCAGAACATGCAAAGAAAATCATGTTGTTGGAGAGTTGATCGTTGAGGCTATGTTGTGCACTGTTCATTAATTGTTAAAACTATCAATGGGTATGTCGCATTTGATTTTGCAAGAGCATGGGTATTAATTCTGGTATACTCATCTGCAATTAAGCACTCGGTCTAAATGTGTGAGCTAACTTAATGTATGTTTGATGACGTTTTTGTTTTATGTTTTTTTTTAAATAGAATAATTTTTTATTTTTTTTGTGATAAAAATTTAAAATATAAAATATATTTAGTAGTCTTTTATATTTAAAAAATTATAAAATTAAAAATTAAAAATATGTTTGGTATTATAATAGTGTTTCCATAAGTCATTGTGGTTAATTTGATTAATTTTTTAATCACAAATACATCTACACCCAGCCACCATCGTCTCCCCCATTCCAAAATTCACCTCCCAATCCATCTGTTTGGCCACCACCACCACCCAATCCACCACCAACACCACCCAACCCACCTATTTGCCCACCACTAACACCCCTGAAAACTCACCACCAAAATCACAAAAATCCACCATCAAACCCACCTGTTTACCCCACCACTAACACTCCCGAAAACCCTCCACCAACACCACCGAAAACTCACCCCTCAACCCTCGAAAACCCACCACAACCACCTAACCCACCACCCAACCACCAACTAAGCTTGAGAGAGAGATCCAAGGTGAGGAAACCCACCACACAACCACCAATTGAAGTTGAGAGAAAGAGATTTGAGATGAGGAAACCCACCACCCAACCACTGATTGAGCTTGAGAGAAAGAGATCTAAGATGAGAATCTTTGATTTCATCTTCGTGGGAAAGCTTTGATTCTTTCATCTTTGTGGGACACTTCGATTTCAGAGGGAGAGACGAGGAGTTTCGGTTTGACAAAGAAAGAGCTGGTAGATTAGAATTTCTACTGAGTTGGTATAATATCTTTACATTGAGTAAACTAGTCATGTTGTTTCGACGTATATTTGAATCATTTCCAATATGATTTCTCTTGATTTTCTTCAATGAATTTCTATTAATGCTATGTAATTTATGTTACGTACAAGTACAAATTAGTGGAAGTTCTAAAAATAATTTTAGAAGGCTCGCCCCAAAAAATTAAAAACGAAAGATCTAATAACTTGTCAAAAAACAAATATGTACTTGAGACTTGATTGTAATACAATTACTTTATTTTGAGTGTGTATCATTGTCTAGTTGCTAGGACACAATTTGAAAATATGATCATAACTTTTTTTTGTTCATTCCTATTCTTTGACGATGACGAATTGTATATGTACAATTTAACGATGCTAATATCAAAATATTATTTTCACATGATTTTATTTTTGAATTATATCTTTGAAAATGAGAGTTTATTATGTTGTTTTTTTTCATTAGGTATATATATTGATTCATTAAACTAATACAAGTATGTTAAATTTTAAAATATTGAAAAATAAATTCTTTCAAATATTTGATAGGTTTCTTTGTTCATTTTAAAGTATTAAATAGTAATGACAATAAGTTGTCAAAAAAATTATGTTTCAAATTTTAATGATGATTTTAATTGTGGGTAAAATGTATACTTTTAGTTGCAATTAATTGTTGTTACTAAAAGTCAGGTTTTAATCGGACTTTTAGTGGTAATATAATATATTTTAGTGGCAAAATTTAGTTTACTTGTTACAATAATTATGATGACTTTTTCATGGTGCGGCTAACAAATTTAGTTTTAGTGACAACAATTAAATGTCATAGTTAAGTGATTTAGCTATACATATATTGCCGCAATCCATTGACAATTAAAAAGTTGTCACAAAAGTATATAGTGACAATTTTTATACATTTAACCGTAATAATTTCTGTTATTAAAAGACCAATTTCTTATAGTGGAGATGAGGAATTTCCGTTTCACAGAGAGAGAGAGAGAGAGAGAGAGAGAGAGATGAAAACAAGAAGAGTAAATGAGTTTTTTATAGTTAGCACAAAATATGTATATTTTGTTGTTAAGGGGATTCGAATGATGAATCCGATTAAAGGGGGCTTCTTTGTGTGCGCGTGTTTTCATTTTTGGGTGTTTATGAAAACGTTTTTTTCCATATTTGTATTTTTGGACCTGTTTTTAAAATACAGTACAATGAAAAAAAAGGAAAACGCATTTCAAACGTGTTTTTATTTTTTATTTTTGACAAAAATTGAAAAAAATACTTAGTTACCAAACGCTACCTTACCTATTGGGTAATGTAAGGTGAAATAGAGAACAAAGTGGACGCTCTATGCGATCGTTCTGAGCCCTTCGAAGTAATGAATATTGTAAATAGACTGTTGCGTAGCATGCTAGTGTACCGGCCGGGCCTCTCTTGATATGGAAGCTGTGCACCAATCTGCAAGTCTTACTAGTTCGCTGAGGTTCGATGGTGGTTGATACCCATGACAACCCACTTTTAAAGTTGTTATATTTTCGGATCTAATTTAGAAATCTAATGCAAGAACTTAATTTGGGTTACTAGGGGTTCCTTTATTGAATAAGTATACTATCAATTCAATGTCCACAATTAATCACTTACAAGTAGTATTATTGTTCAATTTATATTGAAAATAATTGATACAGTGGAAATAAACCTATGAAATAAGCTTTTTCTTGTTTGGAAACTAGCAACGCACCACCACGTGCAACAAATTTAGATAATAAAATTTTCATGAAATTTTTTTAAAAAAAAAAAGATAAAGTGTATGTATAATTAAGTTAAATGACATCTTATGTTTTTGAAGTTTATATTTTTATTACCAATACCATGATATATAATTAAAATGGTTGTTTACAATAAATTAAATTAAATTATAATAAAAGCTAAAAATAAATACTACATATTTAATTTAGAATGACAATATTATCTTAATGTATATTTTAAGAGTAATGCACAGATTAAAAATTTATCTAACAAGTTGAAATTACAAGATTTTATATCATTTATTATTCTTATTTTGAGTTATTTAATCATAGCGGTAGTGTTAAGTAATATTTATAATAAAAAGTTATATTTACGTCTTTTCAAGTTATCAAATAATATTAATGTCATTTATTATTTTAATAAAGATATATTGGTCAATCAAAAGTTTTTCAATTTAAGTGAACTTTATAGATATAAATATAGATAAAGGGTGAAACATTAATTCATGAATAGTAATTAGTAGGAAAGTGCTTTATTATGACGATTTCGTATCACATAGGCTTAGGATAAGTGGAAACTTTTCTTTCACAAAGCAAAATAAGTAGAAGAGTTTCCCTTCATCTTTGAGGACTACTGTAAAAAGGTTCATTTTGAAAAGGTGCATTGCTTCTGCATGGCTTTCCAATTTAAGAAGACTAGAACAATAAGTAGCCATCGAGTTCACTCTATTCCTTTCTTCTTCTTCTTCTTCTTCTTCTTTCTCTCTCTCTCTCTCTACATATATGTATGTTACATGTATACTAGCAGGCGGTGTAGGAATTTGATTGTAATGGGTTACGGTTTACCCCTTGGAATATAGTTCTTTGCTGCGTCTGGGTGCAACTCCTTCCCTTTCCTCTACAAAAAGGACATTTCTTTGCGGTGCATATATTGAAACCGCTTCGTATAAAGTTGGAGGAAAGGGAGATCCAAGATCCCGAGAATTAAAGCAGCATGGATTATGGGTTGTGCTTGTTTAGGAGGCTCTTCTTGGTGATCATAATTGGTAGAAGTTTAGTGGTGGAGGTGGAAAGCCTTGGATGCAACTGGGGAACGCGTGCAACACATCCACTCCCACCCAACATTGTGGTCAAGCTAATGAAGGAGAATGGATTCGACAAAGTGAAGCTCTTTGAAGCCGAGCCCTGGGTTATGAAGGCTCTTGGGAACTCTGGCATCCAGGTTATGGTTGGGATACCCAACGACTTCCTAGCCTCGCTTGCAACTAGTGTTCGAGTTGCTGAGGATTGGGTGTCACAAAATGTATCCTCCTACATATCCAAAAATGGGGTGGACATAAGGTTGGTCATTTTATTTTTTCTATAGTGCTTTTGATGTGCTTTTGTATGTATCATGTATGTTTTTAAGATGATCTATAGCTAGCTAGTTCATCTTTGACAACACATCCAAATGGTGGAAGGGTCCTTTTTTTTTCATATACATACTGTACTTGTAAATAATCTATATAGGATATAACGATCCGTTGAAGATAATACGGTTCAAATATTAACCCTTTTTTCATATATAATAACAGTAGTCATGCCCTGCCCACAGTTATATTTTTTTTTTGTTATATAATAACAGTAGTTTTATATGTGTGTTCAATTTTAGAGTGAAATTAAGGGATATATGTGAATTATAAGAGATGAATTATCCACAGTGTTATAGATGTGTTCAATTTTAGAGTGAGATTAAGGGAGATAATGAGAATTATAAGAGATAAATTATGAGAATTATTTGTAGTTATAAGTATTTAAAATAAAAGGAGAAGGGGGATATTTTAAGGGTATTTCAAATATGAACATTAAATCCTCTTGGGTTCTCCTTTAATTTTCTACTACTAGTAGTAGTAGTATAGATATAAATGCACGAAGGAAGAATAATTAAAACAAATGTAAGTAAATGTGCTCCCAAACAAGTCACGGGTAAATGCCGAGAATGGATAATAGATCTACTTTACGTGTAATTTCAGGTACGTGGCCGTTGGAAACGAACCTTTTCTAAAGACATACAAAGCCAGTTACCTTGGAACGACATTTCCGGCTCTCCAAAATATACAAGCTGCCCTGATCAAAGCTGGTTTAGGGCGTCAGGTCAAGGTTACCGTCCCTCTAAATGCAGATGTCTACCAGACAGACAGCGACCTACCCTCGGGTGGTAATTTTCGATCCGACATACATGATCTCATGATCTCCATCGTCAAATTCCTTAGCGACAATGCTGCCCCCCTCACCATCAACATCTACCCATTCCTCAGTCTATATGCCGACCCCCATTTCCCCGTTGGCTATGCCTTCTTCTCTGACAATTCTTCTCCTGTTGTCGATGGCCCCATCACTTACACCAATGTCTTTGAAGCCAATTACGACACCCTCATTTGGGCTCTTGAGAAAAATGGCTTTGCATCGATGCCCGTCATCATAGGCGAGGTCGGATGGCCAACGGATGGTGACCCTAATGCAAACATAGGCTATGCTCGTAGGTTCAATCAAGGTCTCCTCAACCGCATCATTCAAGGCCAAGGCACCCCCAAAAGGCGAAACCCACCAGACATTTACCTGTTCGCACTCCTCGATGAGGACGCCAAAAGCATCCAACCTGGGAATTTTGAGCGACACTGGGGCATCTTTAAATACGATGGAACCATCAAGTACCAACTGAACATGGGAAACAATAGAACTCTAGCCCCTGCCAAGGGTGTCCGGTATTTGGCGAGGCAATGGTGTATTATGGCACCTGAAGCAAGCAACTCCGACCCCAATCTGCCACAGAGCATCAACTATGCTTGCACCTACGCCGATTGCACGAGTCTGGGATACAGATCCTCGTGTGGCGGGCTAGATGTTAGGAGCAATGCTTCGTATGCTTTCAACATGTATTATCAGACAATGAACCAACAGAGAGGTGCATGTGAACAATTCCACAACTTATCGACGACGACAACCATTGATCCATCTGGAAGCAGTGTTTGTAGATTCGAGATCATGATCGACCTGGGAAGACATGAGCAAACTCAAAACCCAAACACATCGTCATCTGGAAGAAAGCGAAGACCAGTTACAAGCGTAGCGTTTCTATTGGCATTGATCATTGGTGGTGTTCTCTGAGCTCTAAAATTGTCCACTTTCCATTGACTTTGTGCCCGGAGATGGGAGTCAATGTGTTTTCAAAAAGGTCCGAGGGTCTCTTTACTATTAGAGCAATCCAATCCATAGGGAATGCCATTGATATTTATACCATAGAAAAGACTCCACTGTTGTGTTAGGTCCTTTTCGGTTTGGGGTTTTATATCCTTATGGTGGTAAATCGTTAAGGATTGTGTGATGGAAGGTGATGTGGTAAGCAAGTTTCATTCGCGGAACTTGTCATTTGTACTTACTAACTTATATAATAAGGGACAATGAATTTTGAATTTTTAGAGAAAAAGTAAAACTCAAATCACTGGCTGCTTATTGCTTTCAAAGTTTACATTAAATCTCTCATGGTCAAAATTTTCTGTTTGGTTTCATAAGTCCTTTGCTTTTAGATGAATTTTGCCAATTGAATATCTTGACTAGAATTATAATTCAGAAGACACTATAAGTCTTTGGTTCAATAATATTTTTTGTCTTGTAAAGGTTTTACTTTCTTGAGTTCAATGGTTCAAGTCTCCCTCTCACTCCCCCTTCCCTTACCCTTCTCCCTCCCCCCAAAAAAAATATCGCGCACCTCATGGCAAGTTGCTTGAGCTGCACAGGTCACTCTTCCCCAACAATGATGCCACCAAGGTAACAGTAAGGCTGACAGCTGGAAATCGCCTAGGCGTTACACATAAAGCGTAATTGTCTCACATTCAGGCAAGAAAGTCGCAACTCCCAAGGTTGCATCCACAGCATTATGAATGGGGGACAAGGATCACACCGGAAAATTATACGAAGCCCTTGGAGGCTATAAATAAGAGGCATATTCCTCACAATGAAACACAAAAAACTAACCTAAGCAAATACTATGGGTAATCTTTTCCCTTTATCAATAAAACCATCCCCAGGAGCAGGAGATTTTCTTGAGAATTGATTAGCCGAACTCCCGAGCTAGTGAACTACTATAAACTCTCTGTTTGCAATTCTCATCTCCCTTGTTTAACTCTTAAGAGCCTAAGAGCTTCGACTGTGTCATCTAGTGATTCATTAATCCCTAAAGGTCATAGCTTTGATCAATTGTGCAACACACATCATCAGTTGTTGTCGTTTGTTGGAATAACTTCCTATAAAATTTTATTTACACCTTCAATAATTGATGGTTTCTATGCGCAGCATAAACAAAAGTCAGATAAACTCTCTACGTTTACAGAACCAATAAGAAGTCACAACTGGAAGACAACTAGAGAACCCCCCCCCCCCATGCCTAATCCTGATGCTAATCCCCCAATGGTGAACCCTCCCTTCCCAACGACGAACTCAATGCCCTTCAACGAACTCAATGCCCTTCGACAAGCCTACCAACGTCTCCTCCAAGAAAATGAGGAGTTCAGGGGAGGGATGATGAATCTAGAGTAGGGCGGCAGGCCATGAATGATTCTAGGCTCCTTGTCTACAACTCTGAATCCATCTAACAGTCACCCACTCAAAACCCTCAGCCCTTGTTCTCCTCTACAGAACACCTCAACATACCAAACGCTGACATTCTAAATCCCAAACCCCCAGACCTAGGTGTGTGTAGTAGAGTAAGGAACAATGGAAAGTCCCCTAGAGAAAACTTATCACCTTCAAGACAATCTGATGAATCTACTCTTCCATCCGGATGAGGAGAGCAAATGAATTGTTCTAGTTCATTGGTCAGTGGAATCATCTCTCCTTATGGTGGAACCGTGCAAGCTTAGAGAAACAAAGATCCAAACTACGGCTGTCTCACTGAGACTAACAATTCCAATCGAGAAATTTAGCGAGATTGCAAGACATAAACTGGATATTGACGAATCCACACCTCCTCCCATTATTTAATGATGTCTTCCATGAATTTACTTGTTTGGAATTGTAGGAGTGCAGGCAACAAGAAGTTCAGAAGGGTGTTCAACGATATGTTTAGGGCTCATAAACCAGACGTGGTGGTGCTTCTACAAACAAAAATCCAAAGTAACTAGATGGGGAATTTCTTTGATCAGTATGGTTTTACTGCTTTTGAGTGTATGGAACCTGTAACGCCCCAAAACACACCCTGGATGACATTACATTCTAAAATCATTCATATCATGAGAGCACTAATATAATCTCTTAAAAAACAAGACTTTATTTGTCATCCACGAATATTTATAACATTATCCAAAAGAATAAGCCCAAGTCATGGCTATTACATCTCAAAAATTAATTAAGGAAACGCAGCGGAATAAACAAAAGAAGTTAGACTACACAATGTTTCAAAAGAATGTCCTAGTCTAGTACAAAAAGGAAAGGAGGTCGCTCTATGCGTCCACCTCGGGATCCACATTCCCATCCCGTGGAGTCTCCCAAGTAGCGGGCTCCTCGACCCTTACGTCCTCCTCCTCAAGCGGGTAATCTGAAAAATGTTAGCAATAGGGGGTGAGCACGAAGTTCTGTAGAAACATTCTCCCAAACCCATACAAGGTTTAGAAAAGCATTTAAAACGGTCGATCTCAATTTTAACATAACATAGACACATAATTTGAAATAAAGCAGTGACATTTAAAAAGGATCTCAAGTTTATTTAAAAATATTATTTAAATGAATAAATGAGCACCACATACAAATAATAACAATTAATTGTCATAACCAATTTTCAACAATTCTTTCAATAGGTGGCATACTTTGTGGTAACCTCCACCCCCCTTTTAGGTCACCTTTGATTCTCAAGCATCCTTACCGGGAACCTCTTGAAAATGGATGAATATCCTTACATGGAACCTCTCACCAATCACTACATTATTTTTCAAGCATCCTTACCGGGAACCTCTTGGGAAGAGGTGAGCATCTTTACAAGGAACCTCTCACTCATGTGCATCATAAACAACCCAACCAAGCATAAAATTCCAACATTTATCTCAATTTACAAGCATCTATCCAAAATTTTTAAAATATATCATATAACAATTTCACAACTAACTAAGAAAATACATGAGATCATAATAACATCATTTTTCTACCCAACACAAAGCACTAAGGTTTTGAAATCCATAATAAAGAAAGCATTTAGGAAGGAAATACATCACTCTCCAAAAATTAGGGTTTTAAAACTAGAAAAGAGATTTCATGGGTATTAAACCCTACTTTGTTCAAAACATGTAATACTTGCAAAAAGTCTAAGAGAGGATGATTCCATAGCATATATATATCATTGATAGCCAAAACATACATATATAAATACCCTAGCCTCAATGTAAGTGAATGAGAAAAAATCTCTACCTTGAATCCTTAGCTTTGGAGTGAAGAACAAGAATATTTGATCTTGAATCACCCTTGAATCTCTTGTTTTTCCCTTCTTTTCTTTTTCTCTAATGCCCTCTAGGGTTTCAAGGGGTGTGGGGGTGTGAGGGGAGTGAAGGAAATGAGAGAAAATGAGATGAAAATGAGTTTAAAACATAGCAGCCCCGAAAAATACTGTTCACAGGCTGTTTTGGGTTCTCCAAATTTACGATTTTGCCACTAAAAATCTCCAATTTGATCCATATGACTACCCTAAGGTTTTTCGACGTTCTGGATTCATTTTTAATGTTATTTTAACCTAAAATATTTATTTTTATGATTTATCTCAACACCCAAGTCAACGTACATCCGAAACACTAAAGTTTCTATTTTACCCATCCGAATCGACTATTTATGAAGTTTTGCGATGTTTGCAAATAAAAGGTGATAAAGGGTGTTTCTTAAAGCCTTTTATACTTATTTGAAGCCTAAAAGTACTCATTATTTTTATATTTTGATTTAGGATGCAAATGGAGACATTAAATGCAAAACGAAGCTAATTAGACTATTTCGACATTATTTCGTTATCTGAGCATAACTCTCTCATCCAAGCTCCGATTGAGATGATTCAAGATGCTATGGAATGATACGAAAGAGCTCTAAAACTTTCATGTTTTGAGTTTTGAGAGATATTGACTGCATCAAAGTCTAAATCGAGCTTGAAGTTGCAGCAGTGCACTGTTCATAGCATGTCTTCGTCCCTTTTCCATTTTCAATCCATTCCTAAGCCAACCAAATCTATCCCAAACCTCTTCAACACATATTTCTACACCAAACCTATTTAATACAAGTTTTAGGACCTAAAATTTCATATTTTCACTTATTAAAATCAAATTTCAACTATTATTTTCACTAACATTTTAAATCTCTACTTTTCCAATCTACCAAATTCAAACACACATCACTACATATATCCACATTTTTTTATCACAATTATTTACTATATATCTATATACATATATAAAAGAAAATGTGGGGTGTTACAATCCACCCCCTTAAAGAAAGTTTCGTCCTCGAAACTTACCTCAAGTAGCGAACAAATATGGATACTTCTCCCTCATTTCTTGCTCCGGTTCCCATGTAGCTTCCTCCACTCCATGGTGTTGCCACAAAACCTTCACCAATCTGATAACTTTGTTGCGAAGCACTTTTTCCTGAGCGTCGAGAATTTTTACCGGTTGTTCTTCGTAGGTTGCTCCGTCTTGAATTTCAATCTCCTCCAAGTTCACGACTGGAGTTGCATCCGAGTGACACCTTCTCAACATGGACACGTGGAACACATCATGTACTCCGGATAGCTGGGCTGGTAGTCGAAGTTGATATGCCGCCTTGCCTACCGCTTTGATTACCTCAAACGGTCCGGTATATCTTGGCGCTAACTTCCCCTTCTTGCCGAATCAAAACACGCCTTTCTTGGGTGACACCTTGAGAAATACGTAGTCTCCCACCTTGAATTCTAAGGGTCTTTGTTTGTGGTCCGCATAGCTCTTCTGTCTACTTTGCGCCGTCCGTAGCCTCTCTCGGATAAGTTGAATCTTCTCCGTAGTTTCTCGAACAATGTCCGGTCCAAACAAACTACTCTCGCCGGCTTCTAACCAACACGTCGGTGATCGGCATGGTCTTCCATACAATGCTTCATACGGTGCCATCCT